ACAGCATCTTGCATTTATGTAGCAACATAAGCACAAAAATTTAGCTTAAATGGCACATGGATATATTAGGGCACCAGACTTGGTGAAACAGGTAGATCTTAAGGAATATCCTAAAGGATGAGAGAGAATGAAAGATGTGGTAAAGTTTAGCTAATTCCACAGCTTAGGGTTTAGGCAGCTGAAGCCATTCGATTGTGGAATAATTAAAATTCAGCAATGCACAAGATTCCAGAGTGAAGGAATGTAAAGGTTTCTGAAGATTGTAAGGCTAAAGGAGGATATGGTAGGGAGTGCAAGGTTATGGATGGATGAGAACAATTGGGAAAATGCTAGAATCCATGATTAAGGAATAGTAGCAGGACCTTTAAGTAATCATAACGTAATTGGGTAGAGTCAACATGGTTTTGTGAAAGAAACATGACAACTTGCTTGACAAGTTTATTAGGATCTAACAATCAGCGTGAATAAAAGGGGAATGAATAGATGCAGTGAATTTGGAATTCCAAAAGGCATTCAATAAGGAGCAACATTGATGGTTATTGCAGAAGGTAAGAGCTCATGGTTTTGGGCTGCTGGACTAGCATGGATTGGCTAATTAACAGAAAACAGTGCATTAGCATAAATTAGTCATTTTCAGGTCAAACTATAACTATCAAGTGGCCCAGGGATCAGTGCTGGGTTAACAACAATTTATAATCTATATAATTGACATAGATGAAGGGACCTCTGGCATTGCAGAAAAATACCCAACACCCTCTCTGCTGCACTTTTAAAAACGTTTCTTTCCATTTAGAAAATCTGCCTTTTGATTCTACGCAACAAAGTGCATGACCCCTCAAGTTAAATTCCATCTGCCAGGTTTTTGACCACACACTTAATTTATATCCCTTGAAGATTCTTTATGCCTGCATGACAACACACCTTTCCACCTATTTCTGTACCATCAGCAAAACTGAATACTTTACACTCGGACCCTCCTCTCAGCCATTAATGTACATAGTAAATAACTGAATCTCTAGGTCTAATGGCACTCCACTGGTTACATCTTTCCAAACTGAAAACGTCCCATTAGTCCCAACTCTCTGTCTTGTGTGTGTTAACAAATCCTTCCTGATACAGTACCTCAATATCGTGAGCTCCTATCTTGTGCAATGACATTTTGTGGCATCTTATCAAATGCCTTCTGAAAGTCCAAACAGACCAGGTCTATTGGTTTTCTTTTATTAAAGAATTCTGAGGATAAATTGCAAATTTGTCAAAGATGGTTTCCTTTTCACAAGACCATGTTGACACTGTTTGACTGTGATAAGCTTTTCTAAATATTTGTTGATATTGTTTAATTGAGTTAAGCTTTTCTAAATATCCTGCTGTTTCTTCCTTAATAATGGACTCAAGCACTTTTCTAATGAAAGATGTTACATTAAATGGCCTATAATTTCCTGCTTTCTGTCTCTCTCTGTCCACATCTCTAAAGTGTCAAGAGTCTCTCCAACTCACAGTCCAGCAGTAATGCTTATTTAGGACAGTCTCGCAGCTCACATCTCCCACATATTGCAATCCTGACACACAACATGCTCCACCATATCTTAGACTAGCCTTATTTTAATAAATAAAAACATATTGGTGTGGATGCTGGAAATTTGAATCAAACACGGAATGCTGGAGAAACTCAAACCATTTTAAAAGAAAATACAAAAACTTAAAATTCACCAATCACCTGACTGTTTACCTAACTAATGCCTCTGTCTTGCACTTCGCAGACTTTGCGGTCTCACATTCCATCTCTCAGACCACCCCTCATTCCATAAAAGACACGAACAGCACCTAAGACCATAAGATATAGGAATAGGAGCAGGCTATTCAATCTCTCAAGCCTTCTCTGTCATTTGATAGGATCATAGCTGATCCAAATTCCTTACATCCACGTTCCTGAGTTTCCCCCCTAATCTCAGCCTTAAATAAAGAGTGCCCCTACAGTTCTTTGTGGTTAGGATCCAAAGACTCAACCCTCTAAGGGAAAAAATTCCTATCTCAAGCTTAAATTGGCACCCCTTTATTCTGAGGCTGTGCCCTCTGGTCCTAGACTCTCCTACGAGGTGAAACACCCTCTCAGCCTTTACCCTGTGAAGACCCATAAGAATCCTATAGGTTTCAATGAAGTCACTTCTCATTCATCTAAACTCCAGGGTGTAGAGTCCCAACTTGTTTAGCCTTAGCTCATAAGACAGTCCCTCCATACCTGGGAACATCCTTGTGAACCTTATCTGAATTGCCTCCAATGAAATAATATCTTTCCTGAAGTAAGGGGGCCAAAATACTCAGTACTCCAGATATGGTCTCACCAGCACCTTGTACAGTTGCAGTATGACCTCCAACCCTCTTGAAATAAAGGCCAACATTCCATTAGTCTTCCTGATTAGCTGCTACTCCTGTATGCTAGCTCTCCATGTTTCATGTACAAGTCCCCTTAAATCCCTTTGTGTTGCAGCTTTCTGCAACTTTTCTCTATTTAAATAATATTCCGTTCTTTCATTTTCCCACCTCTACTCTCACTGCACCAAATTTTCTCATTCACCAAACACCTTGAGTTAAGGTCATCACTGCACCTCCACTCGATCAAGTAGGACTTTGAGCTACATACACTATAAGTAAGCAGACTTCCTGTATTTATACTGACAAAAATTCTAAAGACCAAAGTTAAGCCCTGCATATCTAACCTCTTGGTTAACTAACCGTGCAGCTGTCAGTAATAGGCTGATGGTTTACTGCTGTTCAAGACTGAAAGAAACAACATATTCAAGTTAAGTTCAGTGCTAAATGCCCCTATATCTTATGCCTGTGATTATACACCAATGATAGAACATTTCCATCCTCCAGTGAACCTCTGTTTCTCGTCATTAAGGATCTGGAACAGAAATGGAAAGTTCACTAGACATCTATAGACAGAATAGGCAAGTCATTATTTTAGGAGAAGGCAGGTATTTTGACATAATCAGGAAAAGGGGAGAGTTTTTTTTTTTAAGAAACGTAAACATAATCCCAAGGTTATCACGAGTGGAATGATCTATAGAATTTCTGTCAAGACAGTGAGGAAGATGGAAAATTCAGGCTGAGTATGAAATCAAAACAAGTTCAAGATTGTTGTCACGTAATTCAACCCAAGCTGATAAAACAATACATCCTTTTCCCTTCTGAACATACTGTAAACAATTGGTCTGAACATTAGCCTTAGTACCTTAAAGAAAATATAATTTTTGAACTTGATCCCTGTGTTTTCCAGCTCTCATTTCCCAGGTCTTTCAGTCCCTTAGCTAATTAAAATAAATCGAAGCCCGCAATCCCAGAACAGGCTCATAGTGAATATATAGTTGATTTTCCACATCATTAAATTCTCTTCCGACTGCCATTCTCAGGAACACAAACTCAAATTCTTTTTGAATTCTGGTTTCCGAGTCTCACTGAGGAGGGGTCACCGGACCAGAACTGTTAACTCTGATTTCCCTCCATGAGTCATGCTGAGCTTTGAGCAATTTCTGTTTTCATGTCCCAGTCTCACTATTGCTTTTAGTTGTATTGGAATTAAACTTCACAATATATTTCAAGTCAATGGAAAATAAAAATGGATGCAGTTGAAAAGCTGATGTTAATTCACTAGAAATGTTTTTGACACTGCTGGCATAGACCCAATGTCTTACTTCATTAATAACTTAATGAGAACATGCAAAGGGGGAATTTTCAGACTCTTGGAGGACAGGGTTTACTTTGCTAATGTATCTCTGACTCCAGTCATTTTCCTTAGGAGTGGGTTGTGTTGCCAGCATCCCAATATCAGTTTGTCAAAGGCACTATTGCTAGAACTTTCCATACAAAACAATCTTTCTAATGTTGATAGTCTTCCCTCATCCAGCTACCCACCATGTCATCACTTGGTTTCTTGAAGGAAGTGGCTGCACAGCATGATATTGGAGTTGCATGACATTTCATGGATTTTTCAGCTTTGCCAGCACCAACATATTTTCCTGCGTCAGAGACTTGCCATTGAGTGAGAATTGCCTGATGCAGTGGCATCTGTTTCCCTGCTGACGATGACACCTCCATTGCACCCCCAACACTGTTGCTGCCCAGCCTTTCCTCAGCAGGGCTCTCATTTGTGAGAGAATGGGGGAGCTATACTGTATCCACCTCTTTCTGCCTGAACTTTCCTGGTGTACCAACTGGATGGCAAACTTTGAAGCAAGCTTACTGCCTCTCCTAAAGTTTCACCAGAAGTTGCATGATTTCATGGAGCAGCTTTTGTGATGTTCCCAGTAAAATACAGCTTGATGCTGCTATCATGTGACAGAAATGGTTTGTTACATCAACTTATTTATAGATCCTACCTTGATTTATATATTCTGCAATGTTTCCCCTTTCTTTTCCTGATTGTACTGGTATAGGTGTTTGCAACTTACAGTCCAGGAAAAGGTCATATTCAAACACTGTGCTTTTATGCACAAGACTTTTCTGCATTTCTTTTTAAACCTGATGGAGCAAAAGGCAAGTCAACACCACAGAACGGATCACTCAGTACAGAAGTTTGATTCTCCTGAAACAGGAACCTGTCTTTTATTTGCTTGAGATGTTTATCAAGCTGCTCTAAAATTTTTTTAAATAAGATACACACTTCAGCAAAAGGAAACATGACCAGGCAGCTTTGATGTAGGGCTAACATTAGAATGGGCTAATGATCACCTTTTTAAGAAGTCTCTGATTTCTCAAGCACAGACTGGAGGAATGTGTTCTTTACTTCACCACTTTGTTTTATCCCTCCATGGTTTAGTTTGTAAAATGCATATTTCAATCACAAAATACTAATGCAATAAAGTTCCTCGCCTGCAAGTTATGACCAGTGCTTGATAGAGGAAATTCAAAAAGGACTAAAATCCTTGCATTTTAAGATAAGCAATAAAAGGAGGCAGAAACTCTTGGGGCATTAGTCAGTGCAGAAAATAAAAAGGTTGTACACATCAATAAAATATTCTCTTTATTGATATTCTTTTGAACGGAGTAATTGACAAAAGTCGCCAGGTATGTTCAATAGAGGCGTCTACTTTCTTTGCCAAAGTGGAGCAGACAATAGAAGGAAGTTATCCACCACTGTGATCAAAACTGTAACACTCAGACATGGTTGTTCCATTGTCTCCTAGCATGATTTGCTGACCATTCCACCGTTACAAATCTTCAATATTCTGGAATTCATCATGGGGTGAATTCTGCAAATTACCAAATTCAATAAAGACGCACTCGAGAAGAATCACCATTTTGATTTCTTTGTGCTGGGGGCACGGAGGAAAGGGCAAAGTTTTCCCTCAAACAATGAAAAGTAATGAAATATTTGTCAGGCAATGGCCTAAGGATATAGTCCCAATTCAGAAGACATTTTAAAAGTCCATAAATTGCTCATTGAATTTTTTTTAAAATTAAACTGGGGTCTAAATTAACTACACAATGCACTGTGAATGTTGGAAGTGCATTTCTTTTAATGTACCCTGGAAGACAGTTAAACATATTGAATGGTCGCTATTGTTAGGATCTGAGTGTACATATCATAACAGAATACAAATTGCTGCAATATACGGAGGTACAAAGACGACACACAAAGATGTGGCCTGTACACCAGCACTAGTTTTTACAGCAATTAGCACTTGCTAGCAAAGACAATACCACTCAGTTAGGGAATGGACCACACAACTTCTGCAGTGAAAGATAGTGTATTTAACTGTCTGAATATAAATAGAAGCGTCGAGCATTAAGTAGATATTTTCTCAGCGTTCCTCCAGCTTTGATGGATGCCCACTTGGTACAGCTATATTTTGAAATAAATTTTCAGATTCTGGAACATTCAAAAATGACAACTCAACCAAACTCTTGTCTTTAAGAGATTCATAAATCAGTTCATAATTCAGCTTAGTCTTTGATTGTTCTTTCCACTGGCCAGGCAAGCTCTCTATTCCACTATTGTAATGTCAATGTGACACATGTGGTACTGAGGCAGAACCCAGCTGGCACTCCCAGAATCCTATGCAAAAAAACCTGGAACAGTCTCCATATCACATATGAATATGGCTCAATTACAGTTCACATTAACAGCAGGTATTGTTCAAACAGGCACTACATTAGTAGTATCAACTTCCAGCTAAAGCATGTAAACACAGGCTTTAAAGGAAGGGAGCATTCACTTCACAACAGTGAACGTATAGAGGAAATTCAATTCAAACTTATGCACACAGTACAATCACAAGAAACTAGTTAAATTACAGTCATATACACCGATTATACAATAGCATCAAATGCAACTTTTATACATGTATTTGGAATTGAATTTGCAGAATGGTATATCAATACATCAAACTGAATGTTGCACTGCCACATGTCACTACATTGACATACAAATTGACCTTGTGAATTAAGCACTGATACTGCCTTTTCCATTTCATAAATAACTTGTATTGCGCACAGACTGCGCATTAAGCAGAATGGTCAGTAGCAGATATTGGAACGTGTCCCAGGTCATTAATGGTGTTAAAACCACCCTGTTTTCATGTTGTCAACAGAATTCTCAAAATAGACAGAAACCTGGATTTTAAAATAAACTCCCATTCTCACCCCTTACTCTGTCTTGCAAAGAATGCGCAGGCATCAAATTAAAGACAGCAACAAATCAGTCTTAATGAAGTAAACCTCGTAATGAGTTATTATCTGCCTTGATACTGAGTGTGGCAAATGGTGGCAACCCAATTGTCAGCTGGTAGACATAGGGGGGCAAGATACCCCTGCACAGACCATTCATTCTAATATAAATATCCTCAGAAATTCTAAATGTTGCATATATGGTTATTGAGATTTGTAAATGTGTTACATTTCTCAATTTGAGCTACACTTACACTTTTGCAAGGGTTAGTATTCTTTTAAAATTATATATTCTTTATAGATTTTTGGTTACAAAATACACTGCTAAATATACATTCTTCTTTACCAGCTGCAACTTTTTGTTAAATAGGGCAAAGTGAAGAATGAAAAATTTAATATTATAGAACCTCCTCCAGTCAACTTCAGCCATAGAAGTTAAAAACCATTAAAAATCTGAAACTTGGGTTCTTATAACTAAGCCCGCTTGAAAGTTATATTCAGGAAGTAAGTAGTAACAACATATTAACATTCTTAAGTTAGCTATCCCACATAATGTGGATTGTGTATGAAGTTGCTTGGAGTGAATTTATCCAAGAAGGTGATTACCTTCAGGGCACAGTCTCATACCATTTCGACTTCACATATGACAGGCACAAGCCGACTGAGAAATAAGTTATGAAAAGCCTGCAGTTGCTCCAACTGATACTTGCTGTCATCTTAATGAGGGCTAGAATTGCTGACTGTACAGTCAATCTAGACTTTCATAATTTAGAACAAGTATTTGGGCTGATCTGTGCAGGAGTCAGCTTTCTCAGGTTAACGAGCAATGGGGAACTGGCAGTACATATCACAAGCCTGGCACATCCAAGAACCAGAAACAAGAACCAAGAACCAAGATCTACTTATATATTCATGGCATGGAATTTTTAGAAGTAAACCTAAAGATCTGGATGACTGTTGGGTAATGTGGTTAAAAAAATGCTTTTGTGTTTCAGCATATTATTTTAAAACATCAGAGAAAGGTTTGGAACCAAAGGAGGTTTTAGGGTTACTAAATTGATTTTTTTGTAAAATACTATCTGCCAACGCAGTTGATTTCTCAATTCAAAGTCCCCTAACATGAAATATCATTCAACTTGTCAAAGTTCTATATTTCTGCATCGCTATGGTAATTATAGTGCTTAATTGCTGGATAATTCAGGTTTTTAAGCAGATTAAAAGGCTGAACTGTCAAAAGAATATTGTAAGCAGATATTTACTACACCAGAATCATACAGAACCAGATGATTCTACAATCTAATGCTTCATTTGGGATCTCCTCTCCTCCCAACCACCCTCCAAACCTCCAACAGCTGCTGATTTATAACTCACTCCAGTAGCTATGGTATTTCAAAAGTACTATAATGCTCATGGGCACATTCAGACAGGTCACAAAACAACTATCTAACTGCTAATTAGAAATCACAATTTAACTACAAGAGCATTGGATTCACTGGTGACAAAGTTAGACACATATAGAGTCCCAGGCCAAACAGACGGAGAGATCTTAGATTACACTGAACAAATATCCATGAAAAGGTGGTGAAACAACTTGTTTGCTCACATAGAAATTTCAAAATTCATATAAAGGTGTGTGAATGATAAATAATTAAGTTTAACAACATTCTCATATGTTGAATTTGGAAACTGTCTATCCAATTGTGCTTCTGAAGTGCAGTACAACACCCTCGTGATCCCCAATATTGAGTGTGAGCTTGCTACGTCACTCCTATAAAAAGCACTCTTGGAGTTAATTTGGAAGTAGATAACGAGTCTCCATGCAGAAAGCCTGTGAAGGTTTGAAATAAATTAGGGAATAAATGAGTTGGAGAATGAGTGACTAAATGTGTGAATAAATTCAGGAGAGAAACAAACTTTTAAACAAGCTTGCCTACATACACACACTCAAAACGGCAAAGTGTTTTTGGCACTAATTTTGGCTCAGAAAACTGGGAGCAAGTGGCAAACCAGGACAAAAAACTACAACGAGACGAGGGAAAGCATGACACAAACCTTACAGTAAACTCTTAGTGCTGACAATTAGTAGGATTGTTTTGGGAGTTGAACTGGTAAATCAAAATGAATACCACACACATTAATTGAAGTCCATCAAATTTTCCTTCCTTTTCTCCCTAGTCTAAAGTGGAATGGTGAAACCTCATCACTGCTGTAGATTAAGGATACAAATGTTGGACTTCATTAAAGCACAAATCTTACATCGAAATATGCTGCTGAGGTTGGTGACAAATGCTGGGAATAGTCGCTGATGTCAGGGTCTCTGTCCTACTGTGTTACACAAAGAACTCAACATTTCCCACACATTCTTAGTTCCTGACTGGAATCCAGCATCAAGAAAATGTTTAAAAACTCTACAACATGCCAGCTAAGACATCTATTAAATAACAACATCCCTTTCTTCTTATCTATGTTTCTGTAGTAGAACATTCAAAGTTAGAGGTTTAATAAAATTACAACTTCCACTGGACATAGTTTCATTATATAGCTGTTAAAATTCAGAACAGCTTTCATGAAACTGCTAGGGAGTGGGTAACTTTCTAACTGCAGTAATTATGGAGTCAGTAAGTTTGTGAAAGTTTGCTCCAAAATGAGATGCTGTAAGTCTATGAATTTCCAGTCCTTAATTCTTGTCTATATAAGATACACAGATGAAAAGAGAGAAACATATGCACTCATTCTTGTTGCCTCACTTGGAAAAAGCCAGATTTTGATATTCACCAGGTTTTCTTCTCCACCATACTGATTTTTTTAAATGATTAACCTAAGAAACAGTTAGGTAATTCCAACACAGATCTTCAACATCAACCATAAAAGGTTTGCATAACATTTTTTAATCTCGACAAGGTGAGGGGCAAAACATGGAACTGAAAAACTGTTCATTAAAAGGGTTGAGTTCAATATTTTAAGAAGAAAAGTTGCAGAGAAAAAAAATACAGACTTTATAAATGAGGAGGAGTGGGAGAAAGATGAGAGAGGTCTTAGATACAGAAATGATTCTCAAACATTAATACTTACATTTATCTTGCATTATACTTGGTATATCACTACTTTAGGCTAGGACTGCATTAATTACTTAGGTCACAGTGTTTTCATTTTAAAATGAATTATATTTTCCAAGAAAAAAATGGGTGGCTTCAGAAAGTTTGTGTAAAAGTCACTGGAGATGTTGAAAATGATAGCCATTCTAGAACTACAATAATAGTGCTGTCAATAAAGGGTTATATGTTCACTAAGTACAACAAATGCTGAAAACACCTAGATGGTCTGGCAGCATTTGTATTTTCAATGGTTCTACAGTACACCTAAAAATTGAATTTTGTTTCTCGCTGCAAATATGCTGTAGACTACTATACATTTCCAGTTTTTAAATCTCAGATTTCAAGCCTCAGCCATATTTTACTTTTGTATTTGTGCTTACTGTTACTTAGACCTTTTGAGCCCTCTGGTGACAGAAGCCAGCAAGTGCAGTAAAATGCTCACAGGCCTTTCTATTTTACTTTTGGACTTGGACATCTTAATTGCAAAAGAGCTTGAGATTACAAGACTCATTTTGAAGTCTTTTCCCTTCAGTGGTAGTTACTTTCCAGCCTAAGTTTTATTGAACTAGACACCTAGGCCTGTGTGCATAACAGCTGCATGGACAGTAATGCTCTTCACTCCACTAGGTTTGTTAGGCTAAATATCTTTTAAAAAATTTTCCCAACATTACAATGCACAGAAGCAAAAGAAAACCCAGTTAATAGCAATACTCGATTCATTCTCCACGATTCCTAACAAGATAATGGCTACTTTTTCAAAAAGATATAATTACTTCAATGGGAAATGTATAGATTAACATTTCAACCACTGCAGCAGACTTAACGCATTGACAATTAAAATATAGTGGTCAACAGACAACACAATTACACTACACTAAATCAGCCACTCGCAGAGTCAGAGTGTTTCCACAAAGTTTACATAATTTTTTTTTTCTTTTTAAACACAGATAGCTAGTTGCATACTTGAATCATTATGGTTTTATCAAATTGATAATCTGAATTTCATTTACCTTAACTACCCAAGTGCTACAAATAAACAGGTAAGCAAGTGATTGAGCCCTTTAATGCCAACCAATAATTCAATATCAAATACCTTACTAATCAATTTTATGCTCTCTAATGAAATAATGCAAAGCTGCAGAAATCTTTGGGAAGCTATTGGACAAATCACTGCTCAATGAGGTAAACACAGTCACCTTCACTGGATCAATTAGAATTATCGGATGCAAGGGCCACATGGCTCACAACACAAGACACTCCCATGAATGGTCTTCAACTAAAATTGCAATGGTCAATGGGTTTTGTCAAAAGAACACACACAGAACAACAAATCCATGCAAAGGACCGAATGCCTAAAGTGGTGTCTCTCTCTCTCTCTCTCTCTCTGTGTGTACACGTACACAAGACTGATTTATTGATTATGCACAGCCAATTAAGGGGCTAATAACAGAAAAATCATTAACAGGAAACCAAGTGAAATATATAGATGCATGTAAGATTGATCAAGGTAAGGATGGAAAAAAATCAAGCTCAGACTGGGGCTTCCTGGTTAAAAACAAAACAGGGACAACAAATGGGATGCCACTATAAGAATGGAAAAGAGCTCACTTTATAAGTTAAGTAGGTTTCTTCTTAAATAGATGTTTTTACATCAACCATTAAAGGATACAATCTTTTAAGCCCACAGATGAAAGCATGATTTGCACAAATGATAACAGGGCACTACTCTACTAATAAAAAGTAGAAAATGAAATGATTTGTCAAATCACAAAAACAGCATTATCTAGAACACATATATACAGCAGCAGCAACTAGCTCAGCAAGTACAATGTGTTATCAGATAACCTCAACATAATTGGCTGGATACAAGCCCAGCTGTCCATTCTCCAGACGTCCTTTGCACCAACCCTGTTCATCCTCATCTTCGATTTTTGTTAAGAAATCACCTGAAACGTGAAGAGGACAAAACAAGCAGTTATAATCTCATTCTATGAAGCACAGCTTCTGCCCTCTCTGCATCATTATCAACTCATTTTCAGCAACTTGATGCATGAAAACATTTTAAAACCCTAACTGTACAAACGCAAGTCTGACTAATGGCAGATGTATTTGATGCCTTGCTACAAATTATGGCCCACTATTCATATGAATAAGTAGCCCAAGAATCATGGAAGACTTTAGTTATGTAAGAAACAATGACAGATAACTGTAGTTGACTCACATGACACAAACATTAAAAAGTGATTTTTTTTAAACACAGTTTCACCTGCTTTGAAGCTCAGTTCATCCTGCTCTTGACCTTCATAATCATACAGCGCACGCACTCGCACTCCCTGTCCATGGGCAGGAGATGCTTCCTCATCAAATGGATTTGTTCCTCCATTAGCATCATTTGTGGTGGGGTTACTTGTTTCATCATCAGACCATTCAGCAGAGTAAGCCTGGTTCTTCTCATAGCTACTTACACTGCAACAGGGGGAAAAAAAAAAGTGCTAAGGAAGACACGGACTTGTGGAACATAACCAGAGCAGCCATCTATTGTCTATGGAAATGCTTCACCAAGACGACAAATGGAGAGAAACTGAATGCTGGAAACTCGAAATAAAACAGTGATAGTGGAAATGAACAGACAGCCAGCATTGGCAAAATAAGCTGAAGTTCTCGAGGAAAGTCCTCATCAGACCAGATTTTTTTTAACTGAAGAGTTCACTAACAACGCGGAATCCTTCTGTGTCGTCCTTCCCTCCATGCCCCAGAGTTGACTGGTATGCTGTGTATTTCTGTTTTTACATTGTATAACACAAAGTATTCTAAGCAGATCTCAACAGGCAGCAAAATAAATTTAGCCTAAAAAGAAAATAAAAGTGTAATGTGATGCTCATTCTAGATTTATAAATCAATGCTACTCAATAGGATTATTTTTTACAATTTTAAATTGTCGGAAAAGTCTACCGAACAGTCTCGAAAGAGAAACAGCTAAAAACATGTTTTCTCCTCCTCCATCCAAAAACTACCGAACAGTCTGTTCTACATCCACTTTGAAGTGGATTCTTTATAAAACAGAACAAAGTGTAATTTTCTCTCAAAAACGCACCTCACATTACACATTGTTTCTCAGCAGAGATTACTAACAAGCACTTCTGGCCTCAAGCCAGTAGCAAAGCCCAGAATTTTGGCTTCCTCCATCTCCACAGTTGCACATGGGTGCTCAAGCAAAGAACACCAAGTTAAGTATCTACATGTTCTGAGATGGCATTCCTCCAAGATTTAGAAGGCAAGGCATAGATAAAACTTGACCATGAAACAATGCATTGAGCAGGTTGTGTTCAGTGCTATGATGTAATGAAAGGTTTACCTGGCATTCTTGTGATTTGTAATTCCGGTCCATGAACAAAATTGCCAAAGCTGTTTCAACAAAGCCAGAACATCTTTAGAAGGCCCAGGGCAGCAGGCACATGGGAAGACCATCTCCTCCAGGATCCCCTCCAAGTCACACACACAATCCGGACTTGGAAATTAATTGCCATCCCTTCAAGGTCGCTAGGTCAAAATTTTGGAACTCCCTAACAGCACTATGAGAACACATTCACCATATGGATTGCAGTTGTTCTAAAGGGAGGCTCACTATAACCTTCTCAAAGAATTAGGTAAAAAATGTTGGCTTTATTGCAATGTCTGCATTCTGTAAATAATAGATGGACACAGTGCTGTAACTGTAATAAAACAATATGAAACTAGATTGCACTGAGTAACATGTAATAGCTTCCCTTATGTGATCGCTGCAACTGCCCTTCTGCAGACTAGACTCAAGGTACATAAACTCATTTGATTTATAAATATTAGTCCAAATTAAAAGCATCCAAACTTCCCAAGAAAAGCAGAGGCAAAAAGCATTAATCAAAAACAAATGGAAAATTCACAGGAGATCAGTCAAGTTGTGAATTACTAGCACTAATAACAATCTTTCACTTTGTTGTTGTTTTAATTAATTTCAACACATTTTATTTTACTGTAACTGGCAGACCATAGTGTTTAAGATAATGGGTGTGTGAGCAGGCCATTCGTCCCAACGAGTCCACACTGACGCTCCAAAGAGCATTCCACCCATACCATCCTTGCATTTTCGATGGCTAATCCACCCAGCCTGCACATCCCTGGATACCATAGAGAGTTTAGCACGGTCAATCCACCTAATCTGCACATCTCTGGAAGAAACCGACACAGACACAGAGAGAATGTGCAGGCTCCATAGAGACAATCACCCAAGGCTGGAATCAAACCTGGGTCCCTGGCGTGGTGAAGCAGCGGTGCTAACCACTAAGCCACCATGCTGCCCCAAACTTAGTCTTCAACTGATGGCAGGGAAAAGTAAGTTATCTTGCCAGTGTTAACACAAAGCAGTAAAAATACACAACAAATCAGTCAACATCTGTAGAGAGAAAAGTCAACAATTCAATTGTAACTGTTCGTGTCCTCTCTCGATAAAAGGTGTTAAAGGCTTAGTATATATTACAACACTGTTTCCATCCTGGATTTACAGCACCTGGAATTTTCTTTCATTATACTAATTTGAAAAAGCACAAAGAAATTTGTGAAACTTCGGTTGTTAGTATTATCATGTGCATAAGGCAGAGTGAGGTTAAAGATGTGAGTAGAGCACCCATGTTTGACTTGAACAACTTAGAGACATAAAACTCGAAGTTCAGCTCATTGGCCTTTCATTAAAGTAGTAAGATACAGAGGAATCCTTTTGGAAGTACATGTACGTAATAAAGACTATTACATACAAACAAAAAAGTGACAATATTTTGGAGCTCCATGAACAACATGGGTTTAGGTCTTACAAGGCTGTCCATCGACATCTTTGTCAGGAGTCTAGAGCCACTCTACTGAAATGAAGAGCCCTGCATTTTGGGCCAAGTAAAGGGCTAATCTGGCACTGCTGACTGTGGGAAACAAGGTTATTGGCTGAAAGTTCAAACTCAACATGAGAGAGGACTGTGTGTTTCTAAGATATTGCAGAATCAAGTCAGTTTTTGGACTGGTGAAACTCATGTTCATGAGTATGTTTCTAATGGAGTCTTTCTGAATGCTGCTGAAATCATTGTTCAGCCAAGCGCGAAAAATGTCTGTGTCATCAGAAAATTAGCTCATTTTAAGAAAAAAAAACAAACTCTATCTTATTTGTTTATTTGTGAAATAGGAGGAGAGTTTAAACACCATGTACTCTTCTTCCCCTTAAAGCTGCTTTTTATATTAGAATGCAAGGAAAGCATTACCTTTATTTATGAGATTGCATCAAGCAGACAGCACTCTAGAATGAGCTCATTGCGCAGACTAAATTTAGAGTGCACAGCAAGAAAGAAGATAGAAAGATATTGAAAAATTTACTCAGATACAAAGATTAAGTCAAATTAAAACATGAATGCACCACATTAGAGATTGAAGGGAACAGGGAAACAGTTCTATTGATAGCTTCACTAGTCAGTGGGGCAAACGTTAGTAATTGTTAGTGAAAACTCCAAAATGCTCAAGCAACGACAGACAGTTTTCGCTAACTTTTTCTCTTCCTCTTTCCGGTTCTCTTTCACCTCCTGGTTGGCTTCATCGTCATCAAAAGGATTATTACTGCAACTTCTGTCATTACTCTGGCAGATATTATCACTGTTCAGGAAATGGGAAAAAGAACACCTGTATTTGTAAAGAATCCCTAGAAATAATCAACTGCTCACCAAGAATTCAGAATACAAATATTCTTTACAAGTCAAAGAAATTGACTGTTTTGCTACATCATTGCACATCGTTAGCTGAAAAGGACTTTGGAACACAAGGCTTTATAAATGCAAGGTCTTTCTTTCAATAACAGAAATGTCACATTGGATGAATAAATAGTAATTATTGTATAGTCCCTTGGGAATGCCTGTAATGAAAGTTACTCTCATTATGTGCATAAGAAATGCTTGATTTTAAACACCAGTAGAGAACGGGCAGGCAGAGGTGTCATGCCCAATCTGGCTATGGGATACTTGAGCCAGAGGTCTTGGCCTCAAATCACATTCTGCTGGAGAGTAATGTCTGGCAAATAGTTTTTCTGTTCTGGCAAGACAGGGAAGTGACTGGTTACCAAACTGAGCTGGTCAACAGCTGAGCCTTGTGGGATGATCTTCAGGCAGGAGTTGACTGCAGGTGGTTAAGGCCTAAGGCTGTGTTACACCATCAGACTGGGTGAAGCTTAAAACTACTTTAACATTCACAAGATAATGGCTCTGAACGAGTTAAAGATTTCCCTGCTCCGTCCCCAACTACTCCAGTTTTGTCACCATGGTTAACATTTATGCATTCAGGGATACAGATATCTACATTCATCATTAGCCTCTCTCATTCAGGTCTCCAACTTGACAAATTCAGATACTGTTTGGTGGTTTCACAGTTCTTTCAGAATGCACTGCCTTCTGACTTGGTAAAAAGTTAGGTCTTTTGCTTTTGACCTTGGTTGGTCTATGATCCATTTCTCTGCAGAAGGATCTGTTATCTCTTGGATATCCTTTGCCAAGGATGCTGTTCCTGCTAAACTTAGTAATTACTACATTCCGCTTTTGTAAGGACCTTTAATCTCCTGAATTTTGTTTGCAGATAGACTCTTCCCTGCTAACTTAGTTGGTTGTCCCATAACGTCATCTGGGGCATTTAATCTTTGGAGGTCCATCACGGAAGATGCCTGCTCTATTGAAATTAGTACTTTGTTCCTTGCAGTGTCCTAGATGTCAAGTCCAGATAATTTATTTTTAACCATATTTCTAATCTGTGGATATTGGTCTGGTTTCCATGGAACCACGTGCAGTTTCTCTTTAGGTAATACTTAGTTTCAATTTGCTGGTATGTAAGTATGTAAGCTCATGACTTCAACTTCTTGATTAGGTTGAATGTCTTTAATCTGTTATCCTACTGGTGAGCTGGACATTTTCACATAGTCACATTACTGGAGAACTGCTGCTTGCTACCTTTGTTACCTCTTCTTTGGAAGATTCAAAATCAAAGTCAAATGTCCTGTATCAGTTTGCTTGGAGAGCAGTTTTGATGTCTGAACATCTTCAGTCAGAGATTCATTAATGAGATTGAGTAGGCTATACTGCTTATTCTCAGTATTTGCTTCTTCCGGCAAGCTTTGCTGATGGTTGATTTCTGATCTGTCAATTCTCTTATGTCAACTTGATAACCTCCATTTCTCCTGTTTTCCCTGTTAGGGTCTGCCATGAAGCCCTAATGAAACCTTCTACCAGTTGTGCCTTAGCCAGTTCGTCAACAACAGATTGTTTCTAAACAAAACTGTTCTCTCGGAACTAGTTGAACTCCTTCTGCTACATTAAGGATACAGAAATCAAGACTTGAATACAGACTCAAAAAGTAAGAACTTATGATTATGAACTCATACATGGTTTGTGTTGCATTGTTGCTTGTAGGAGAAGCTTTAAATTTTGGGAATTCTTCTTCACTCCTCTGTCAACCTTAAAATTAATTAGTTGTCCATTGACATAAGTAAACTCTGTCAATCATTAATGTTCCCTAAGAATGCCTTTGGCATCTTTTTCAGTAGCTAATGCTCTACCATACTGAGCTTGTGTGTGTAACCATCAACACTTTTGTTGCTGTGAAACAGTATCTTACTTCTGCACATATTCTGGAAGTGACCTACAGTGTGGTATGCAGCATTCTTTTGTTATAGCTGAGAATGCTTGACAGTTTTTGTTCCTCAGCACTGACACAAACTCTTAGTATCTGCTGGTTGGCTTACTCTTTGTAAGAACTTGTCAAGTGTCTGTACAGTGCTTGTACATTATGAAGTGAATAGGTTTTGTTGGTCTCCTCTGGTAAGGTTGCCCTTCTCTCAGTATCTGAGTGTCTTTCTGGTCTTTGCTTCCAGTACAACTTGAATAGCCTTCTCCAAAGTCAAATCTTTCTTGGATTAATCTATCTGGCTGACTCTCAATAATTCCAAACAACAATTCTGTCTCTTATGAATTCTGCTTTCAAAGCTCCATAGTCATAGTTTTCCACTGATCTGCACAGGTTGTTAATGAAATGGAGTTTAGAAGGATGAGGGTGATCGCATTGAAAATTATAGAACACTGAGAAGCCTTGACAGAGTGGATGTGGAGAAAATGTTTCCACTAGTAGTAATAGAGCCTGGGGGCTGAGGACATAGCTTCAGAGTGAAGGGACAACTGTTTACAATTGAGATGAGGAGGAATTGCTTCAGCTCGAGCGTGGTGAATATGTGGAACTCATTGCATCCACAGCCTTCTGTGGCAAAGTCATTAAGTGCATTTAAGATAGAAATAGATAGGTTCTTGATTGGCAAGGGGATCAAAAGTTACAGGGAAAAGGCAGAAGAATAGGGTTGAGAAACATATCTGCCATGATTGAATGGTGGGGCAGACCCAATGGGCCAAATGGTCTAATTCTGCTCCAATATTTTATGGTCTTATGGTCTTAAATAATCTATTCCTGATTGCGGAATTCTTCTGATAAATATTTCCCTTTCAATAATTTTATTTTTCTCTGATTAAAGGTAATTATTAAAACCTATTAGTATTTCTTCCAAAGAACTAGTTTGATGATTTATGATGTCAGCCACTGTCACACCTACTGCTCTGATGCTTATCCAACTTGAGATTCAGTATTTAATTTCAAAACAATTCTGTATTTCAAGAATTATTTTCCCCAAGATGTCCAATCCTGTGTTCTGTAAGAGAAATGTTCCACTATTTTCCTCAAATAAAAGCAAAGTACTGCAGATGCTGGTAATCTGAAACAGATCGAGAATACTGGAGAAACTCAGCAAATCTGGCAGCATCTACAGGAGATAGAGAAACAGCATTATTGTTGAGAGAGATAGTAGGAACTGCAGATGCTGGAGAATCCGAGACAACAAGGTACAGGGCTGGATGAACACAGCAGGCCAAGCAGCATCATAGGAGCAGAGAGGCTGACGTTTCCGGCCTAGACCCTTCATCAGAAAAGGGGGAGGGGAAGGGGGTTCCGAAATAAATAGGGAGAGAGTGGGAGGCGGATAGAAGAGGGATAGAGGAGAGGATAGGTGGAGAGGAAACAAACAGGTCGAAGAGGCAGGAATGGAGCCAGTAAAGGTGAGTGTAGGTAGGGAGTTAGGAAGGGGATAGGTCAGTCCAGGGAGGACGGACAGGTCAAGGGGGCGGGATGAGGTTGGTCGGTAGGAGATGGAGGTGCGGCTTGAGGTGGGAGGAGGGGATAGGTGGGAGGAAGAACAGGTTAGGGAGGCAGGGACGAGCTGGACTGGTTTTGGGATGCGGTAGGGGGAGGGGAGATTTTGAAACTTGTGAAATCCACATTGATACCATTGGGCTGCAGGGTTCCCAAGCGGAATATGAGTTGCTGTTCCTGCAACCTTCGGGTGGCATCGTTGTGGCACTGCAGGAGGCCCAGGATGGACATGTCGTCTGAGGAATGGGAGGGGGAGTTGAAATGGTTCGCGACTGGGAGGTGCAGTTGTTTATTGCGAACCGAGCGTAGGTGTTCTGCAAAGCGGTCCCCGAGTCTCCGCTTGGTTTCCCCGATGTAGAGGAAGCCACACCGGGTACAGCGGATGCAGTATACCACATTGGCAGATGTGCAGGTGAACATCTGCTTGATGTGGAAAGTCTTCTTGGGGCCTGGGATGGGGGTGAGGGAGGAGGTATGGGGGCAGGTGTAGCACTTCCTGCGGTTGCAGGGAAAAGTGCCGGGTGTGGTGGAGCTGGAGGGGAGTGTGGAGCGGACAAGGGAGTCACGGAGAGAGTTGTCCCTCCGGAAAGCAGATAAAGGTGGGGAGGGAAAGATGTCTTTGGTGGTGGGGTCGGATTGCAGATGGCGGAAGTGTCGGAGGATGATGCGTTGGATCCGGAGGTTGGTGGGGTGGTACGTGAGGACGAGGGGGATTCTTTTTTGGTTTTTATTGCGTGGACGGGGTGTGAGGGATGAGGTGCGGGAGATGTGGGAGACACGGTTGAGGGCGTTCTCGACCACCGAGGAGGGGAAGTTACGGTCCTTGAAAAACGAGGACAACTGAGATGTACGGGAGTGGAATGCCTCATCCTGGGAGCAGATGCGGCGGAGGCGAAGGAATTGGGAATAGGGGATAGCATTTTTGCAGGAAGGTGGGTGGGAGGAGGAGTATTCTAGGTAGCTGTGGGAGTCGGTGGGCTTGAAATGAATATCGGTTTCTAGGTGGTTGCCCGATATGGAGACAGAGAGGTCCAGGAAGGGGAGAGAGGTGTTAGAGATGGTCCAGGTAAACTTAAGGTTGGGGTGGAAGGTGTTAGTGAAGTGGACGAACTGTTCGAGCTCCTCGTGGGAGCACGAGGCGGCGCCAATACAGTCATCAATGTAACGGAGGAAGAGGTGGGGTTTAGGGCCGGTGTAGGTACGGAAGAGGGATTGTTCCACGTAACCTACAAAGAGGCAGGCGTAGCTTGGGCCCATGCGGGTACCCATGGCTACCCCCTTTGTCTGTAGGAAGTGGGAGGAATTGAAAGAGAAGTTGCTGAGTGTGAGGACGAGTTCAGCTAAGCAGATGAGGGTATCAGTGGAGGGGGACTGGTCGGGCCTGCGGGACAGTAAGATTTGAGTCTGGTATGACTCTTCTTCAG